AGAAATACATATAGTTCTCTCAGAACTATGGAAAATTGATTATCCTTTCTTACTAAGATAAATGGAAGTCGAACTAGATTTGCATATCTTTACCTATAGGGAAAGATTAAAAACTTCAGTGAAAACGGTCATGGTCAAATGATGGAAAAATAGGTTAATGGGAGAGCAAATTGGTGCAACCTTCATGTAGGACAATATCTACAAAATTGTGAACGTGTATGCTCCCCTCCTTTTATGAATTGAGGTGAAATACACATAACATAAAATTAACCAGGACACCTGGATGGCTCAGTCAGTTGAGCGTCTGCCTTTGGCTCAGGTCATGATCTCAGGATCCTGGGATGGAGCCCCATCCCCTGCTCCCTGCTCAGTGGGGAGCCTGCGTCTTCCTCTCCGTTTGCCTCTCCCCCTGCTTGTGCGCTCTGTCAAATAAATAAAATCTTTAAAAAAAATTAATGATCTTAAAGTGATCAAGTCAGTACATTCACTATGTTGTACAACCACCATCTCTAATTCTAAAACATTTTCATCACTCCAAAAGAAAACGGTATTCATCAAGCAGTTACTCCCCGTTCCTCCCTCCTCCAGCCTCTGGCCACCTGCAGTCTGCTTTCTGTTTCCATGGATTGACCTATTCTGGATATTTCATTTGAATGGAAGCATAAAACGCGAGACCTTTTATATCTGGCTTTTTTCACTTAGCATAATGCTCATCTACATTGTGGCATGCGACAGTACTTGGGTTTTTTTTTTTTTTTAAAGATTTTATTTATTTATTTGTCAGAGAGAGAGAGCGCGAGAGTGAGCACAAGCAGATAGAGTGGCAGGCAGAGGCAGAGGGAGAAGCAGGCTCCCTGCTGAGCAAGGAGCGCGATGTGGGACTCGATCCCAGGATGCTGGGATCATGACCTGAGCCGAAGGCAGCGGCTTAACCCACTGAGCCACCCAGGCGTCCCATTGGGTTTTTTTTTTTTTTTTTTTTTAATAGCTGAATAATGTTCCATTGCCTGTGTATTCCACAATTTGCTTATCCATTTGTCCATGACGTTTTTGTCATTTCCACCTTTGGGCTGTTGTGAATAGTGCTGGTATGAACCACGCATATGCCTTTGGCCCAACAGTACCATTACTAGGAACTGATCCTACCAATATGCCCCCACAAAAAAATGTAAAGCAAATAACTAAAAACCAGCTGAATGTCCACCACTGAGAGGCTAGCTATCTAAAATCTGCATTTTTGCAGAGACTACTCTGTAGCCTTAACAATAAGGCAGCTCTTCAAGGACTAATACTAAAAGAACTATCTTCTATGAAAATGTCAGGTGTAGCTCATGGCATAGAGTACACTACCACTCGTGTAAAGAAAAGGAGGGGAGGAGGAAAGATTTTACATATATGTAATTTTAAAGTTATTTAAAGTGAGATATAATTGACATATCACATTGTACCAGTTTTAGGTGTACAACGTGATTTAATATTTGTATATTTCATGAAACGATCACAGTAAGTTTAGTTAACATCTGTCACCATGGGAGTTAACAACTATTTTTCTTGTGATGAGAACTTTTAAGATCTGCTCTCTTACCAACTTTCAGATGTGCAATACAGCAGTGTTAACTATAGTCACCATGCTATAGATTACATTCCCAGAATTTACTTACCTTATAACTGGAAGTTTGTATCTTTTGACCAACTTCCCCCCCATTTTGCCAACCCCCGCCCCCAACCTCTGACAACCAGCAGTCTGTCCTCTGTGTCTATGAATTTGGGATTTGTTTGTTTAGATTCCAAGTACAGTGAAATCATGCAGTGTTTACCTTTTTCTGACTTATTTAGCATAATGCACTCATGGTCCATTTATGTTGTTGCAAATGGCGGAATTCCCTTTGTTTTATGGCTGAGTAATATCCGTGCGTGCACACACGTACACACGTGCGCTCTGCACTGTCTTCATCCATTCATCCCTCAGTGGACACTGATTGTTTCCATGTCTTAGCTATTGTAAATAATGCTGACGTGAACATGAAGGTGCCCATAGTTTCAAGATGTTGATTTCACTTTCTTCAGATAAATACCCAGAAGTGAAGTTGCTGGATCATAGGGTTCTATTTTTAATTTTGAGGAACCTCCATACTGTTTTCCACAGTCGCTGCAACCCATTTACAGTCCTACCAACAGTGCACAAGAATTCCCCACATCCTCGCCAACACTCATTATTTCTTGTCTTACAGGCAATTTTTTTTTTTTTTTTTTTTTTGCTTGAATTTGCACAGAATATCTGGCATCTCTGGAAGGATCCGCAAGAAACTAGTAGTACTGGATGTCTCCCAGGAGAGGAACTGCATGGCCAGGGAGGGGATGGGGTTGTGCGCGGAGACTTGTTACTAAATACATTTTCATACCTTTTGAATTTGGGGGTTTTTTTAAGGCTTTTTTTTTTTTTGTCCAAAGTAATCTCTATGCCCAATTTGGGACTTGAACTCATGACCCTGAGATCAAGTGTAGCATATTCTTCTGAGCCAGTCAGGCACCCCATCTTTGAAATTTTGAATTGTGGGACTCAACAAAAACTATTCTCATTGTGAGTGAAAAAAATGTAGCATAAAAATCTTTTTCTTTTAAACTTCCTCCTCCCACCCCCATCCCTCACATGCTGGCTGAGTTAGCTGAGGAGAGGCGTCTGGCCAGGAGCTGGGGCAAGCTTGGGTTCATCTGAACAGTCGGGAGAAGGGTGTTGCCGGAGGGTGAGGATTTGCATGGCCCCCAGGATGGGCTCAGCCCAGGAATGAAGAGAGACCCACCCCCAAGGAACCTGGCCTACAATTTCAGACAACAGAGACGGAAGTGCCTGGAAATTTCTGGAGAAAGAAAAAGGCAAACGGCCAATCCAAAAGTCTGGGAATGAGAGGGGCACTGGATTGTAGAAGCAGCAACAGTCAAAAGACAATGAAGAGAGAAGTCAGAATTCTGAAACAAAATATCAATAAAAGCAAAGGCTTTTGCCCCGTGAAGGGTGTAGAGCTTACTTTAAGGCTGGGGGTGACTTTTGAGACAAACCTTTTCAGACTTGCAAGGACCCGGGGAATTACCTTCCAGTCATCCTTTCTCAGAAAGTTGTTAGAGGATGTGCTTCAGCAAAATGAGGTAGAAAACTAAGATAGTCAGGCTTGGGATCCAAACAAGAGTAGAGGCCAGAGGAGCCTCTGTGGCACTGACAGAACACTCAGTCCACCTTGGGACAGGGAGGATGGGACCGCCATAGGACTCCACAGCTATACTGAGCAACAGACCACCTCTGACACCTAGAGCTTCTCTAAATAGACTTGAGAGGATCAGATTCATCCCACCCAGGGAAGCCCAAGACGGTGGGTTGGAGCCTGTGTCATTTTAGATTTTAAAACCCTCTGAGCCATTAGCTGGTGGGGGCAAGGAGGTCTGCCTCCTCAGGTAGGTCTGCCCCACCCTGGGTCCCTGGTCCCTGGTCTTTCTGTTCCAATGATAGGGCATAGCTCAGGTGTCCTCTAGAAAGCTTTTTCTGACTTTTCCCCACCCCCTTGCCAGCTGGATCAAGCACCATCCACCAGGACTTCACCACCAGAGCAGGGGAGCCCATCTCCATTAGTGCTGCATGCCTGTCCCCAGTGTGGGGCCCGGTGCACACAGTGGGGTCAGTAAGTTAGCCCCCAGGCTGCTCTGGACTGGAGTCATCTGAGGGAAGGGACATGGGGCACAGCTTCCTGTCTCAAGAACAACCCTCCCTGGGCAGCGGGACCCCCCAGTGAGGCAGGGCTGGCACCCAGAGAAGTAGGGCCTTATGAACCTGTATGTTCCAGGCTTAGCAGTGGAGACAAAGGAAGGGACTCCTCCTGCAGCTCTCCCCAGGGACCCTGGGCTAAGGGGCTCAGCGACTTTGAGGTGGCAAGCCTGCCTTTCTGGAGGCGGAAAGGGGAAGAGAAATCCCCTGGGCAGGGGGGTGGGGGTGGGGGGAGGTTCTGAGTCAGCTGAACTGTCATAATGGAAACAGCACACCCTGGCATCAGGACACTTCTCCTCTGTGGCCTTAGAGACCCCCTTATGAGACAGAACAGTCCTGTGCCAGGAATTGGGCTTAAGTGACAGAAGGGTGACAAAGCCTCTGTTAACAGGCAGGTGTGAAGGGAGACACTGCTGCTGACCCCACCGTGACAGCTGGTCAGCGGGGAAGAGACTGCAACATCTCTCCTCCAGCAAAGATGAAAGTCTTTCACTTCCTTAGTTCCAAGTCTGCACTCGGGTTGGAGCCTTTTGGGGACCACGAGTTCCCTTTGTCCACCAGCCACGGACAGTCCAGTGAAGAGCCTGCTGTCTGTCCACAGAGGTTATCTTGACTGGGGCGGGGGGGGAGTCATTTGAGAGGCTGTCCCCTAACTGGGGATGATGAGAAAGGCCAGGGTGACCACCAAGGCCCATCTGGGGGCGGAAGGTGACAGACTACGGGGGTGGTCAATGAAGGCCACCTGGGAGAACCCAGTGCTCTGAGACTTACTCAACGCCTCAGTCTGACACCTCCAAGCACATCCTGTTCCCATCTTCCCCTTGCGCAAGGCTGGGGCCCAGCAGGAGGAGGCCAGAGGCTCTGCTGCGCGGGGCGGGGGGCGGCTTGGACGCCCCGGCTGCCTCCTTACGACCCCGTCACTTCGCTGGGTGGGGGGTGGCCAGGAAGTCCTTTCCCGTGGCCAGGGCCAGCGCCCCCCGCGTGTGCAGCCGCACCCGGCCTGCTCGGGCGGGTGTGTGACGCGGGCAAGCCGCTTGGCTTCTCGAGGCCTCAGTTTTCTTGCCCGTGAAGTGGGCTTGACAACAGCCTCGGCTTCTCGGGGCCGTGACGAGGCTCAGCAGTCCCGCGGGTGCCCAGGCCGCGCGCGCACTCCCCGCGGAAGGCCGGGGTTTGGGGGCGTCACCGCCCCGCCCCCGGCCCCGCCCCCGGCCGGCTTCCTCCTCCCGCCCGGCGGCCGGCGGGCAGCCCCCTGCCGCCGCGCCATGTCCGCCGGCTGGTTCCGGCGCCGCTTTCTGCCAGGGGGTCCGCTCCCCGCGCCGCGGCCCCCCCGGCCGCGCGCCAGCCCAGTGCCCTACCGGCGGCCCCGCTTTCTGCGCGGCTCGGGCTCGGGCCCCGGAACCGCCGACGCCCCGCGCAGACCGGACGCCCGGCCCGTGCGCAGCCCGGCGCGGGGCCGCGCGCTGCCGTGGAATGCAGGCTACGCGGAGTGAGTGCCCCGCCCCGGGACCCCACCCCCACCCCTCGATCCCTACTCCCGTCCCTCGGGCTCCCCCACCCCGCCCCTCGGGTTCCCTCCCGCCCCGGCCCTGCTGGGTCAGCCCCAGAGCCGGGACCAACCTGGAAAACAGCCTAAGCTGAGCGAGTGCCCCAACCCCCCAGCCTGTGGATACCTCCCTCCTGTCCTCACCTGGGACTCTTGACAGCCTCCTCCCCCGTCCCCCGCCAATCCCCGTCCCACCCTTTTCTTTGGAACTCCAGCCTCCCTCAGAGAGGCTTGCGACTTGGGAAGGACCTGCACCTCTGGGGCTTCCAAGGTGAGGCAGGGAAACTGGACCGAGCCAGGGAAACTGTGGGCCTTGGAGCTACCCCTCACCTGCAGGCATGCATCTCACCCTGGGTTGTGACCTGTGCTGTATGGGACTGCAAATCTGGCTGAGATGGGGCGGAGGACAGGCAAAGGAGCCCAGATCTCCCCAGGCAGCACCCCCTCACCTCCCAGCCCAGGTCAGCGAGTAGTCTCCCAGGGCATCTGGGCCCCAAAGTTTTGCCTTAGTCTGAGGCTACCGATCAGTTAGGAAACTTAACACTGTCCAGGTGTGTGTCAGGGGCAGCATGGGGGCTGCTGCCTCAGAGGTAGGGCTGGCTCCTGCTGTGTACCAGCTCTGGTCTCTGCCCATGGGGACATGGGTGTGTCCCTGAAGGGTCACTGGTCACTTACCGGCCTCAGGATCATCAATGCAGAGAAATCTGAGTTCAATGAGGATCAGGCGGCCTGTGGGCAGCTGTGCATACGGAGATGTGAGTTTGGGGCCGAAGAGGACCAGGAGTGGCTGGCCTTGTGCTCAGAGGAGGTGAGTGCATCTGGGCCTATGCCCATCTTACAGGCTGGGACCAGGACTGCAAGTTGAGGTTCTTGCTCTAGTGTCCCACGCTGGGCCAGGGGGACAACCGGTGAAGCCAGGCAGAGCCTGATGCCAAGCCCTTCCGGCACAGATCCTGACAGGTCATTACTGGGCCCTGTTTGATGGGCACGGCGGTCCGGCTGCGGCCATCCTGGCTGCCAACACCCTGCACTCCTGCCTGCGCCGGCAGCTGGAGGCCGTGGTGGAGGGCGTAGTGGCCGCTCGGCCCCCCATGCACCTCAGCGGCCATTGCGTCTGCGCCAGTGATCCCCAGTTTGTGGAAGAAAAGGGCATTAGGGCAGAAGACTTGGTGATCGGGGCTCTGGAGAGTGCCTTCCAGGAATGTGTGAGTGTGGCCTTTGCCTGGGGAAGGGGCAGGGACCTGAGGGGCATCCCTGCCCACACCAGTGGTTTCCTGGGATCTTTGCGTTGGGAGGACAGGATGGGGTTGGCTTGTTAGTAGTGATCATCACTATCATCCTAAGCCCTCCCATTTATCCAGTTGTCTGGTACGCACCAGGGGCTTTTCCGTGCCCCATACCTCGTGCACCCCTCTGGTCCTTCTTGGTGCAGGGGAGGCTTTCCCTTCCTCAGTTCTGATTAGGACTTCCCTCCCTCCCAGGGGATACGCCTAGATCCTTTGACCACAAGGATCCTGGAGTCAGAGCTAGACCTTGGGTGGGGACCACCATGCTTGCTGGTGGGGAAGTGAACTCTGGGGTGGGGATTGGGGACAGATGGCAGTGCTGGCAGCAGCTCAGGTGGCTTTGGTTTGCCCCAGGATGAGGTGATCGGGCGGGAGCTGGAGGCCTCGGGCCAGGTGGGCGGCTGCACAGCCCTGGTGGCTGTGTCCCTGCAGGGAAAGCTGTATGTGGCCAATGCTGGGGACAGCAGGTAAGAGCCAGAGGGTAGGCAGGGCGGGGCGGGCAGGCGGGCACCAGAGGCACGGGGGACAGTGAAAGGGGGCTGGAAGTGAAGGGATGGAAATGGGGACTGACTGGCTGAGTTGCTTACGTACCTGGCGTGTCAGCTGAGTGGACAGCAGATGCCAGGGAGGGCAGGAGGCCTGAGCCTTTATTCTGCAGGCTGTAGGTAGTCATGGGGGCTTTGAGCAAGAGATTGGCATAGGCAGAGCTGGTCCCTGGTGGCTGGAGGAGGGGCCGGCAGGATGGAGACCATGAACGAGGGCGGAGTCTGCCCCACAGACCTCTCTTTGTCAACCCCGTCCAGGGCCATATTGGTACGAAAAGATGAGGTCCGGCCCCTGAGCTCTGAGTTCACCCCAGAGACTGAGCGGCAGCGGATCCAGCAGCTGGTAGGTGTCTTGCAGAGGGAGGCTGTGGAGCCCCAACTTGTGAGTCCCCAGTCACCAGAGGCCACCAGAGAGCCTGATCTGTGCCTGGCCTCCCTACCCGAGGCCTTTGTCTACCCCGAGCTTCTGGCTGGTGAGTTCACCCGACTGGAGTTCCCCCGGCGACTGAAGGGCGATGACTTGGGGCAGAAGGTTTTGTTCCGGGATCACCACATGAGGGGCTGGTGAGCGAGGTGGGCTTGGGAGACAGTGGGGAGAGCCCTGGTGTCCAGGCCCAGTGTGTGGACTTGGGGCTGTCCTCTTTCAGCCTGGGCAGGGTGGGCTCCGTGGTGCGGGGAGGTGAGGGGGTCGGTGAGGCCTGGGTTGACGCTGGGTCTGACCCTGGTAGGAGCTACAAGTGTGTGGAGAAGTCGGATCTCAAGTACCCACTGATCCATGGGCAGGGTAGGCAGGTCAGTGAATGGCCCCTTCTTAAGAACCCCTCTTAAATTGCTCCCTGGAGAGGGGGGAGCTCCCTTCTTCCTTGTTGGGTGGACTATAGCTGGGGTCACGGAGTTTGCCCCAAGGCTACAGGATGTCTGTCCCTCAGCCCAGGGCACCTGAGGGCCACGGTGCGCTTCTGTGTGCTTTATTTGCACATCTGACAGCAAACAGCTGTCACCTCACGTCTCCCTTGTCCCCAGGCTCGGTTACTGGGAACATTGGCCGTCTCCCGGGGCCTGGGAGACCATCAGCTCAGAGTCCTGGACACAAACATTCAGCTCAAGCCCTTCTTGCTCTCTGTCCCACAGGTGAGTGGCCCACAGACCGTCCACACCAGCTTCCGTCCGCCCAGAAAGGCAGACGACGAGGTTGGCGGGAGCCGGGAAGGGAGTGCTGAGGGACCCTCAGGCTTAACTTGCAGGTAACCGTACTGGATGTGGACCAACTGGAGCTGCAGGAGGAGGATGTGGTTGTCATGGCAACTGATGGTCTCTGGGATGTCCTGTCCAATGAGCAGGTGGCACAGCTAGTGCGGAGCTTCCTCCCTGGCAACCGAGAGGACCCACACAGGTACTGTAGCTTCAGCGACACCAGGAAGTAGTTGTGGCCGAGAAGACAGCACTGGTGATAAACCTGGCTCAGGACAGGTGGTCAGGAGCAGAGAGAGCTATCTCAAGCTTCTGGGGGGTGATGGTGGGTCCCCAAAATCTCTGGGTTCAGAAATCCCCAGGACCAAAATCTCCATGGTCCAGCCTGTGGCCATCCCATGCTTGTGGCCTTGCCTGGCCCCACAGCTGGACTGTATTATTTGGGTCCCCACATGTCCAGCTGTACGCAAGTTCTCCCTGAGGGGTGCCCTTGCATCTCTGCTCTGGCTCCACAGGTTCTCGGAGCTGGCCCAAATGCTGATACACAGCACACAGGGAAAGGACGACGGTCCCACAGAAGGGCAGGTGTCCTACGATGACATCTCGGTGTTCGTGATTCCCTTGCACAACCAGGGCCAGAGGAGCGATGGCCACTGAGGATTCAGACACTATACCCCAGAACCACTCTGGGGCCGGGTATAGTCCGGGCATCCCTCCATCAGTCAACAGCAGGCCTACCTGCCCTGCCCCAGACACAATGGGTTGATCCCGCACCCCAGCCCATCTCAAGGAGAGCATTTACAGCAGGCAGTCAGAGCCGGAAGAGTATGGAGAGCCCTGCTCCCCAGGTCCCTCTTCGGGCAGGCAGGGCAAGAGCGCAGTTATCAGTAACCTCCCTTTACAACGTAGGAAACCCAGGTGGGGCTCCTCTGACAGGGTCTTTGCAACTCAACGTTATTCCCAGATGGGGACAGCCGGACTAAGGGCACTGGCCATGAATGCTAGGAGGGGCAGAAGAGCCTGTTTGAATCTAGGTCTCCAACCCATGAATGTCAGAGTATTTACTCAATAACCTCCAGAGCCTATGGAGGGTGCCTTATGGGAAGCTGTGGGTAGCCTCCTGTCTGCTCAACAGCCATCTTAAATCAGCCCCTTGAGAGACAGCCCAGGTCCTGCCCCACTCCCCTCTGCCACTGGAGGTGAGGTCCAGGCCCAGGTGCTAAAGGTGGGGCAGAACAGAAAGAGGCAAGAGGAGCCCCACAGTTTGCTAAGCCAGGAATGTCCCTGATAACTCCCTCCTGGCCCCAGCCCTGCCCCAAGCTGATGTGCCAGCAATGTGGTTTTGTCGCTCCCCGACCCCTCCCTATAATTAAATGTTTGTGTGAAGAGCCCTTGTGAATCATGAACTGCTGTAAAGCTTGGCATTATAGTACACTTTTTTGCTCATTCTTGTTACTTTCCAAAGAATCCGTCTTTGCTCCCCCTTGCAAGTCTGCCTATAGTCAGGACTGCATTTTCTCCGAGGGCCTTTCTAGTCCCCAGTATGGGGTGAGCCCCAGTGAGAGAACTGTGGTTCAGGGAACAGAAAAGTCTGCCACTATCTGCGGGCCCCTGGGTTGAAGTACCTTCTGGTACATCAACATTAACTTGGTTTTGCATGACGATTTCAATAAACCAAGAATTAGCTGGAGACAAATCACTCAGTGTTCCAGAGCTCGCTGTCTCATGAACAGCTTAGTTCTTCACCTTCCCCACAAGACTGTCATCACCTAGCACTTGCCAAGGCCCGCGTGCTTGGGAGCATTTGTTGAATTACAAGGCGACCACCTTTATGACCTCAGCCTCACACTCCTACTTTAGTTTACAACTGGGATAAATTCTATTCAGGCAACTCGCAACGCCAGAGGGGGCCAGGAGGGACATGGGCCAAGAGGCACCAGAACTGAAGGTAAAACTTACATGTTTATACTATCGGCGAGGTTCTCAAGCCCCCTTTCCTACCCATTAACTCACTTTATTTTTATTTTTTGCTTTTTTTTTTTTTTTTTTAAAGTAAGCTCCATGCCCAGTGTGGAGCTTGAACTCATGATCCTGAGATCAAGAGTCACATGTTCTACTGACTTAGCCAGCCAGGAGCCCCTCATTAACTCATTTTAGACTCTCATTTCCTATACATTCTCCAGGGAAGGGGTAGGGAAAACTACCAAAATTTCTCATTTTTCAGTCCTGTCCCACAGACCCACACTTCTGGACTTCCGTATGTCCACAGCTAGGTCCTGACACCCCGGGGGCCCCTGAAGCGCGGGCAGCCTCTCCAGGCCTGCTCCAGTTGCGCGGCTAGCTGAGGCACAGCGCGCCTTACCAGCCTGCAGTTCCACTTCCTGTCTTCGGCAGCCGCCCCCGCTCCCCCCCCACCCCAGCAGTGTGGCAGCACCCCGCGCCTGCCTCTCCCCCACATCAATGGCTCAGGCAGCTCACCCTCGCAGCCCGCTGCCTGCTCTTGCTCCTCACACAAGGCTGAAGCCCAGGGAGTGGGCACAGTGGGTCTCTGGACTGCAAGCATGCCTCACCTACAGGAGTGGCGGCTGCAGGACCACCACACTCACCTACCGTGTCCGAGCGTCTCAGCAGAGCCACGTGATGCGGCGGGCCTCCACCAGGCCGTGTGGGCCGCCTCCTTGAGCAGTCTGCCAGGAGAACCTATGCGCGGCCTATCGCTCACAAGCTGGGATGTTCCCTCCGAGGCTCTTCGTAACCCTTGGCCACCCTCCTACAACCACGGGCAGAGTGGCAGGCCCGAGGATGTCTTCTCTGGTTCAAGGGAGCCAAGAAGCGGCAGCTCTGAGGATACGGAGTTAGTGCATGGACTCTAGGAGTTACCAACTCACCAGCCAGGCAAGTGGTCATCAAGCTACTGGCCAGGTCCTCTGCCAGAACTAGAGCAGGAGCCTCAAAGAGGCCCCATTCTCCTTGCTCCACGGAAGCCAGGGCCTGGCAGGACAAACTTTATTCCAGCTAGAGGCTGCCAATCTGATCGAGCACTGAGGTAACAATGGGGAATGAAAGGGAGCCTGAGGTACTATGCCAGGTAGTCTGAAAGGCTACTTCGATGCTGGCGCAAGTTGGCTCTTCCCACTCATTTCTGGCCCTGTGGCTGCTTATTAGAGCCTGTGGTCAAGACCCAGGCTGCTACGCGTTGAGGTCTGGGTCTAGGGGTCCTTCCCACCAGCCTCCAGACCTTGGTCACCAGGGAGGGGACAGTCCCAGCGAGCCCGACAATCCATCCACATGGCATCATCATGAGTCCCAGGTGAGTGAGGAGGACTAACAGGAGACAACCCACCCTTCCCTCCAACTCTAAGAACCAGGCAAACAATGCCATAGAAACTCAACAGAGAGGCTACAGCCATAAAATTCTGTTTAAGACTGATAACATGGAAAAAATGTTTATATGTTAAGTACAAAAGGGACATAAAATTGTATATACAGTAGAGTAACAACTATGTAAACACACCAAAAATCTATGCACAGAAATGTCTAGAGGAACATGTAACACCAAAAGATTAACAGTTGTAGCATTTGGGTGGCAAACTGATTCATTTTAAAATTCCCCAAATTTCTTCAATATGCATTAAGTATGATTGCAACAGGGAAGTTTTTTTCCCCTTAAAAAATAATAAAAATAAAAATAAAAAAACAAAAGACCAACACCACCCACTGGCTGGTGGTTGAGCAGTGCGGTGTCACAAATTGGTGGCTTTGGCCTGGACTCTCGAGAGTATGGGTGCAGCCCCTCCTACCTCAGAGAGCTAGGGTACCCCTGGCTCCACTGACAGCACCCCTGCAGCCGCAGCCCCTCTGCCCCTTTATTTCTGCCTTATTCCCACCACATTGTCTCCAGTCACTTCTAGCCTTATCTTCCCTTGCACACTCAGGAGCCAGCTCTGTAGCCACAGGTCCCTAGAAAGAGGCAGTGCCATGCATATCTCAAAGGATGTGGTACCTCAGCTCTGGACACCAGAAGCTCAACAGAAATCGTCTTCCTTGCTGACGGGCAAGTGGCTGCCTGTGGTTACAAGTATTGAATTATGCAGCCCTTCTGGTAAACCCCTGGTCTCTAGCACTCTCTGAACAGTTACTCTTAACCATGAATTTTCTATCCTGGAGAGCCAGGAGTGGGCAGCAGTAATAGCTCAGATCATCTGGTTTCAAAAAGTCCCTCCACTCTGAGAAGGCAGAGCTACAGAGAGTGGGTGGCACTGCAGAGAAGCTGCAGATTCCACTCTACGTTTTGGAAAGATGCATGCCCCTTGCCCTTTAAGTTTGAGGAACCAGTGAAAAGTAACCGCTAACAAAACGAAACTATAATTGCTAGCAATTCACAGCCTATTCCTGCTGCTGAACAAAAGCAGCTAATGGCTTGCTTCCCCTTAGCAGCTATGTACTCTTGGGCAAGTCATAACCTTGTTGAGCCTGTTTCTGTATCTGCAGGGAACGTGTGACCTGCTTACATGTTTGGGAACTTAGTGAAATAACACGCCACTGGTCCTGCTCTAAGGCGGCAGGGGAAGGAAAGGCCATGAGCCAGCCTTAGCTCATCTCAACCCTGATCAAGACCTCTCCCCCTTCCAAGAGAAGGCAAGGAAAAGAAGCAAGCAGACATGCCAGGTAACAGGAATGGCCTGTAATTGGAAAAGCAGCTTCCAACAAACTGAAAATGCTCTGGTTCCAGCATCTTGTCCCCAGACATCAGAAGCCAGACACAAAAGGCATGCAAGAGTGACTGTCACACACGTGCAGGCGCAGACAGAGCATCACCGAGCAAAAAGGGGGCAAATACTGCAGAAAGGGCCCCAAAGTGCGGCTTGAGGAACACAGGGGAAGTTATCCCAAGACCCTCGTTTAGCTGCCATGGGAACAGCAAACACTTGAAGCTTTGCTTCGTTCTGTCTCCCAAAGGAAAAAGGTAATAGAGAAGAATCACTAACACTTGTGGCAAACACTATTAGCAAGGATGCAGTCTTTCTCCCGGGCTGCCGGACTCCACCTCCTTCTGCTGAACTCTGAGAAGTGACATATTCTATATACATATATATATGCATACATACATATACATATATACGTATGCACCCATGGATATATTTAAATGAAGGTGTACACACTGTGCTAAAATACAAACAACAGAAACCCCATGTCATTATATAAAAAGGCTAAATATAACATATAACACAGGCCTAGAGCCAGCTCTTGCTTAGGAGCTGGGAAAGGGGTGGAATCATCTGGAGACTCTGTACACAATTTGTGGTGGGCAGGGAAGGCATCAGTGTAAACAACTCAGACTCACTCCACAATACTGGCCCACAGGAAAGCGTGATGTATCTCATGTACAAAAATAGACTCCCACCTTGCTTTTGTACAAAACCAAGCTCGGCAGGCGCCCAGAAAGAACGCAGGTTTGTCTTGATGGGGATCACACCAGGCTACCGCTGAACCGCCCAGCCACAGGAACTACCTGCAACCCCTACTTCCCTCCCTTTCAAGCTCTTGGGCCATTTCCCACCCAACACTCAGAGCTTTGAGGCATGCCCAGATCACCCACCCTCAGATGACTAACTCACAAGGCTTCCTGGCAAGCAAGGTCCTTCTTTCTGAATCTGTCCCTTTCTTACCCCAAAATATATGAAGACTTATTTCTGTAAATGTTTGGCACCTAAGTAACATGATGGTTGTGGAATAATGCCACAATGACACAGGGAGACCCAGTAACAAGACATGCAGGGTGAGGGCAAGGGGTGCTGAGCTGCCCTTAGCATCTCAAAACCAGAACTGTGGCTTCCCATGCATTTATGGGGGTGGGAAAAGGGATGTGCAGAATTAACAACTTCACCGGCTCTTCAGCAGCAAATACATTCAAAATTGAAGGCGTCTTGAGGGCCTCAGTATACCCTAATCATGAATCTGGTCACTCCTTTGGAGGAGCTCAGTGCAGTGACAGCTGGAAAATCTAAGTCCTGATAGAACCTGCCACACCAAGAGTCTTTTTGAAGAAGCTCGGCAAAGTACTTTCTTTTGAGCAGATGTACAGCACATCCATGGGAAGGCCATGTGGAAGGATGCTCTCCAGCCCAGTCAAATGATCCAATTCATTATCTCAATCCCCTCTGAGTTCTTTCCTGTTGGCCACCCTCACTGTACACAAACAGCCAAGCAGCACCTAGGTCAGTCATCAATGGTGGGCAACCAGAAGGCCTGTAAGGAGAAACAGAAGTCAACTTTTAAAAGCCAAGCCTCTCTCCGCTCTGCTGAAGGTTCTTACCTATCCACAGCATCACGCTGCCCAAACCCAATGGGGGAGGGATTGTGGCCCCATGACCCAATCCATTCTGGCAACCTATGGAGAAACACCCCCTCCATGCGAAAGTAAGCTGATTCTG